AACAGAGGGGATGGTACCCCGGGTCTCTCTGGAGCTTCAGCCTGGATGTCCTGACTGTTGCCGGATTCCTAAGGAAAGCGGTTAAGAGAGATCCAGCAGATCTTTTCCTTTTCTAAAGTCAGGCCCCAAAGGCACGGGCTTGAGCTGCAGAGGAGGCCGCTGAAAGCTGAGAAAGCCTGGGAAGAGTCAAGAAATGCAGTGAAACTGGAACCTGGGTAAGGTGTAGCATAGACAAGAGCCCTCCGTGGGGAGTCCTGGGGAGGGTCTGAGGCTGGCAAAGCTGCTGTCCTTCAGAGAGGAGAAGGTGAAGCCGTGCTCGGTGGTGCTGAGGTACAGGGTTTGAGAGGAGGTACCGGGAAGCCAGGGGAGACTTTGTGGTAAACAGTGAAACTCCCTTTACAGCCCCCCCCAGCAGGGAGCTCGTACTGGCCGGTCAGGGTGGCAGCAGGATTGCAAGGTGGAGAAAGCCCTTTTCCCTCACTGCTTGTGACTGGGCATTCACCTTCCACTGACTTTGGTAAAACGAGATGGGCTGTAGCTCATTTCTCTTGCTGGCATTGAGGAAAAAAACCCGCACAATGCACATGCCAGAGCTGAGTACATAACGAACAGCAAGATGGGCCGATTAAGGGACACTGGCTGTTCACTGTGAAGCCAAGAAGGAACTTAATAGGCCTTAAAATAAACAAATTCAAAGAGGCGTTTGCTCCTTTCATTTTTAGAACATGACATGTTATTCACACTTACGTCAGCTTTTTTCTCTGTATTTTAAGGTAGTGTGTTTATCTGAAAAAAAAAAAAGTGGAAGTCAAATCCAAATGATGGTCAAGAAAGGAATGGTTTGCCCTTGGCTGGTTACTTGTAAGTGCTCAGAAGAAAGTAATCCTGCAGAACGTGAGGCAGAGCTGGGGGACTGACCAGGTCGCTGGAGTGGCTCTTTCCTTCACTTGGGGACATGAGTAAGTCCAGGAAAGAAATACCCTTTGCACGCTGGCTCCTTGTCTGTGCGGGCAGCCCGTCACACCTGGAGCAGTTGAGTTTCAGAACTTCAGTGGTTTTTGCTATAAAAAATTACTCATCTGGACCTGATACGTAAAATCTTAGCCTTTATTAAAGAAAAGGACAGAAAACCTCTTGTGGAAAGCTGTCTTGGATTTCAAATGTGAATAAATTCTGAAGCTGTGTTTTTTTGTTGGTCTGGCCTCAGTATAGGTAGGTGTCTATGGGATATGGAAAAGGTAGAAAACACTGAATAAATGAACAAAACTGTTATAAATTCTGCGATCTCTCTGGGCCACCTATGCTGAATGTATAGAAACAACAGACATAATGAGGTAGCTATGTTTTTTTAAAATTTATTTCAGTTTAAAGGGTAGTCATTCAATAGTAAGAAATGCTTTGGAGTTTTCTGCAGGGGAAAAGAAGTTATTTTAGAATTTGAATTTGGTTGGTGGACAAAATGTCTTTTGCTTAGTTGAAAATGTTTTTCGATAATTGTTTTTCAACTGTCTGGCTTAGTTAAGGATTTTCTTTTTAATTTGCAAACAATTCTTATCCCCTGCATGTGGAAGAAAAGGTGTGTAATTACTTCCACTCAAAATCAAGCAACTGTTCCATCTCTGTAAAAGAAATTGATGCCAAAGAGAGATTAGATGCAGAGAACTATTTCATTAAGTGACTGGCTTGGAACAGTGAAGAAATTTTGGAACAAAAGGCTTTTTAGCTCCAGCTGGGGAGCTCCTGCCCCTGCAACTGGGGTTTGCGCAGTTCTGCGCCGAGGCCCTCGGGCGCTGCGGCCAGGTCCGTCCTCGGGCCGATTCGCGTCGCTGGGGCTCTGCTGTCTCCTCACTTGCTGCCCTGCCTGCCTCTGCCCGCTGGCTCCTCGCTGTAGGGCCTTTTGTACTCGCTTTTAAAAACATTTGGTGGGCGTAGACTGGGCATTACCCATGCAAATTGGGCGCTTGCATTATTGTCGCGAGCGTTAGCCAAATTTTATTGTTTTGCTTGTGACGAACGGTTGGTGATAAATGATAATAACGCTACGTTTTTCAAGGCAAGGAAGTACATCATGTTCAGGCATCAAACCTGTTCTTTTTCTATTTTAGGGGACTAAAAGCACATAAATAGACCCTTGTCCTGTCCCCGCTATTTTTATTTTTTTTTTTAAAGATGTAACTGGAACATTGGGGTAGGGTTTAGAAGTATGAAAATAACTCATTCCTTGGGCATCCAGCTTGTGTTCTGAAAATGAGTTTTGGCCGGAATAATTTTGCGAGTGAAAAAGAAAAAAGCTGGACTTCAAAACTTTCCCCGTCCACCATTGCTCTTACAGCTGTTTTACTGTGGTTTTCGTTTGAACGTTGCGTATTAGATTTGGTGCTGAAATAAGAAATGTAACCAGTTGCCTGAGCCCAGGCTGTGGCAAGGGGCAAGCCGCACGGAGGAGGGCGGTGAGCTGTACCGGACCTGGTACCAAGATTTATCCCTGTTTAGCTCAGGCTTTGAGAAGGGGCTGGGAAACCGCCACGGGCATCCTCTCCTCTCCCTGGACGGTGCCTGGAGCTTCCTCACCTCCAGCCCAGGGCTCGTGCGTGGGGCAGTGCTGTCGAGAGCTGGTGCAGGGATAAAATCTTTCCCATAAATGCTTTTAATTTCAGGTGACTTTATTTCCATATGAAAACTGCTCTGTCAGGTAATGTTTGCAATTTGATGGATATTCAGCAGTTCATGAAAGTTCCTTGGGAATCGTTGAAGAGTTTCTAAAGTTCCACGCAAAACATTTAAACCCGTTCTGTTCCAAAATGATTTTCTCCATCTGGCAGCCGTGTCCTCTGTCTGGTTTTGGTGTCTTTTTCCTGTTTGTGACTAAAGGCACGTGTCAAAGGTCTCTATTCTGGGGGTGTTTTTCTCTCTTGAACTGCTGTTGGTGGTTCTGTAGTTACCGCCGACTGCCTGAAATAGCCGTGGTACCCGAACGGTCGGGGTGTGCCCAAATCGGTCCCAATGCACTCGGCAGCTGCCCGGCGACGTTACTTGTTTAAATTCCTTCTCCTGTTGGAATTCTTGTCTTCTCTCTACTGATGCAATATGTTATGAATGTGAAGTGTTGCGGTGAACTTCTAACTCCTGGTCTCAAAAACCCATGAACCGGGTAACGAGCTGAGATGTTTGATGTCTGTCTGGCACCTGGGCACGGACCTGGTGTACGAAACAAACGCTTCTTGCTTTTTCATTGGTAACTCTCCAGCAGAGACAGGGCAAGGACAGCCCCCTGTAGCTCCGGGAGCCCGCTTTTGCTGTGTGTGTGTTTGCACAAGGTGGTCGCCGTCCGGCACAAGTGACACCAGGATGGTGGGGCTGGGCAGCGGGGGGTACCCGTGGTGGGAGCTGTCGCCTGGCCGCCCTCCCCGGGGCTGGGGGGTGGGCAGCGGGGGGTACCCGTGGCGGGAGCTGTCGGCTGGCTGCCCTCCCCGGGGCAAGAGATCGTCACCATGTGGGGCTTCCCTGCCAAGACAGCCTCTCTAGTATGAGACATGTTGTTCATTACAGCTTTTTGGGGGGGCAGAAATACCATTTGTAAACTTCAGCTGTTGTCTGTGTGGTCAGGACTTGGCTTGGCCCTGCTGGAACCCGTCCTGTGAGAATGGGCTCATTCCTGTGAGAATTGGGGCTGCTTTCCCCAACCGTGTTGTGAACAAACATGTAAATACACTGATAGAGCGTATGACGTTATGACTCGGGGGATGTATTTTTACGATTTATGTCTGCTGTCTTCTAACAAACAGGAGATTAGTTTTGTTGCAAAACCTTTAAAGTAAATCCAAGAGAACTGGTATCCAACTGCTGTCCCATGGTTTACGCTAAAATCTCCCAACTGTTTGTGTAGCAGAGTTTGTTACATAATTTTTGCAATAATGTACAGACTGTTTGACCTGACAGGCGTCTTTTGGAAAGAGTTTCCAGAAGACAACATTTCCCAAATTATTAGTTGATTTCTGCAGCCCTGCAATTTGGCCTATACTTGAGGACTTTGCAATAGTTTGTATCACAAAGCCTGAACGTGCAACAAAAGTTATTTATCAATAACTGAACGGAGCATTATGTTCACTTAATTCAGATTTTAAATTCAGATTTTATTGAAATTTGACAAAATTTTCTAATTTAAAGTACAGGCTGAAACCATCAGCATAGTTGTTTAGGTTTTTTAACACTCAGGATGTTAGGGTGGTTCTTATTTATTTATTAAATTTGCGTTACCATCTTAAATCCCTTACACTGAAGCTTCTCCTCTGTCCAGCACTGAGTTTGACCTGATGTGTTGTGTGTTGTAAGTATAAACATGCTAACTTAGAAAAGAAATACATTCCTTGTCATGTTAGAATGCAAAAGTATGTTAGAATGCAAAATTATGAAGATCAAAAACTGAATAAGCTTTTCAAGCAGATTTTAAAAAGTTGTGACACATCCCAATCTGCAGTATCCAAGGTGCTGAGATGCTTTTTTTCTGCTTTGTCGAAGAAAATAATCTGTTAAAGTTTTAAAATTAATTATTATTATTAAAGAAATAAATAGCTTTATGAAATAGGTCTTTCAGTGCTCCATCGTGCCCCTATCAGCATATGTGGTCAAACCACTGAGCAAGAACTCCGTCCGTCGGGGCAGAGAGCAGCTGAAGGTGCTGCAGGATCTTGCACGTCCTCTCCAGAGGAGCTGCCGGGGCCGTGCTCAGACAGCTGGTGTGGGCACCGAGCAGCAGGCACGAGCAGAGCGAACTGTCTGCTGTGTTAAACAGCGAAAACGAGAGCTGGTGCTGCTGCATTCGGTGATGCAGAGACAGAACATTGTGGGCTGTGCTCTTGGCCGAAATGACGTCTCGTCCCTTGAAACGGTTTCCCGTCGCCAGCGCTATGTGGAGGGCGCTGTCTCAGCAGCGGATTTTGCTGCTTTTGCTAAGCTGGTGTTGCTAAAATAACTTATATCTCTCTTATTTTACCCTTCAGCTCCAGTTCAGACATTCTGAGAGATCTACAAGGGCCTGAGACATATTCAGCGTCCTCTGACAAGTAAGTAGAATGTGTGTGGAAAAGCCCTTGTGACTGCTGGCGTCAGTAGTTCCCAGGCGTTTGCCTGGGGATGGACGCCATTCCCAATAGAGGATGGATGCCGTTCCCAATAGAATATTTTATTTTTTTTAATAAATGCTTTTCCTTCCTTGTCCTTCTGTTAGGATATTAAATGTGTGTATTCTTCTAAAATTATAATTCAGTCTGTGCTGGTTTTCTTCCTATTCATTTGAATGAGGAAAAATCGACCTGGCCAGGTCACAAGATTTTTTTGTTAAAAACAGTTTGGATCAAAAAAATGGAAGAAATAGGAGTGTGGAAAGTTTCTGAGCTGTAAATTTTGGGGGCCCCAAGCAAAGAAACTAGAAGTGCAGCTGCGTTGAGATTCAGATCGCTGGTCTTAAGAAGGCTGTTGGGAAGCACAGATTTTGGTTGGACGATTTGGGACAAAATACCACGTCGTGTTGTAGAATTAATACACCGGCTTCGTTTCCGGAGGAGGTCAGATTTAGGAAGAACGGTAGCTCAAACTGCAACGGAATTGGCCGTGCTTCCCGTGTCGGGAGCGGGGTGTTTACCCCAGAAGGCTGGGAACCCCGGCTGTGGAGGAGAAGGCCGTCGGGAGAAGGTCTGCAGAAGGACTTGGTCCTGCCTGTGGAGGTCGCGGACACCTTTTTTCAGGTTGTGTGGCAGGAGGAATGGTAAAACAAACTCACACTTAATGGTAGAACTGTAATTCCCGTGGGGGTTGTGTACTTCCTCAGTATTTTCTGGAAGAATTCACTGCAGCCTCTTATTGAGGGAAAACTTGGGGTTTGATGATCCTGTGCTTCCTGTGGGCGTATATTTAACATAGTTCTGATGAGATTTGAATTGTCTGTGTAATGCCAGGAGCATATGACTTCTATTTATTGTGTCTGGTTTAATTTTATAGGTAGTAGCTTGTCTACTGTATGTGTTGAAAACATGCAGTTTAAAAGTATTTTTGAGAAGTACTGTAAAAGCGAACGGCAAGGCTAACAGCTGTATTTTCCGTCTTTGGAGACTGCCAGCTCCAGTCTTGCGGCTGGTGGACTCTAGTTTCTTTATCAGCAGACAGCGACCTGCAATTAATTTTGGTACAATCAAATAATTGTCTACTGGTTTTTTTTCTTTTTTTTTGTTCTCCCTGGAGTCCATTATGAAGATGCCAACTGGCAGAATTGTTTTCTGCAGCGCGGAAAGTTGTGACTTAAGGGTTTGGCCTCTGTGGACTCTTGCATGAGTTCTCTCTTGCTGTATTTTTTTTATAACAGTTGTTAATCAGATATTTGCAATGCAAGAGGACCAAGCGATACAGAAACTCCAGGTCTTGGCTTTGTGTGTTAACACTTCTGAGCGTAAGGTCATTACCATTCTGCTGTGGAGGAATGTAGGCACCCAAGCTAGAAGTGGGCAGAATATAAACCAGTAAAGCTACCCTTGAACAAAGTGAGATTTTTGCTTCATTCTGTGTCCTAAGTAATCTGTTCTTGCAAGGGTAGTTGTGTTCTGGAAATTCTTGAAAACAAACCAACAAAAAAATGGAAACGGGAGAAGGTGCAGCTGCTGGGGGTGCTCCTTGTGAAGCGACACATCAGCAAAATCGGTAGCTTGGATGTTGTTTGTCGTTGCCCTGTGCTGTGTTACAGTTTAGCCTTCCAGGTCCTTCCTCCACTGGCTGTGAGTAACATACTCCAGAGGCCAGACAGCAACACGGAACGGTTGCCGGTGGGCGAGTATGACCAAAAGGAAGGTTTTGGCATGTAGAACCAGAAATGAAGAAATGGCAGAAGTGAGAGGGAGCGGCTGGAGCCTCCAGCTCTGGTTGCTGACAGCAGCTGTGGGGCTGAGGTGGGTCTGACCGTCGGGGCTTCTCGAGGTGCCACCGGGTCTCAGCAGAGCGAGAGACTCGCGTGAGCAGCCGAGCTCCAGATGTGCCTTTGGTGGTGGGAACGGGGATTCCCCGAGCATTCGCATTTACGTGACAGACTAAGAAGGAAGCACGAAACATTCATGTTCTGCATTTAGAATAAATGATCTATTTTGTAAACTTTTAATGAAAATTGAGACGTTGCACAAGTTCTCCAGAGTCTTTTTTCGTTTCTGCTGGCAGGGACGCTGCCGGCCCCTGCGGTGGAGGAGGGTGGCATGTGGGGGGTGCATCTGTGTGGCCTCCGGTCCCTCACAGCCCCGCCGGGCCCCAGTGCCACACCAGCAGGTTGTTGAAGCGCTCCCCGGACTTACATAAGCAGCTGTAGATCAGGGGAGCCCTCCCAGTTAAAGACAAAGGGCACAGTGTTTGCAGGGTGGGTCTTCAGACTGATTTTAATCAGTTATTTCTTAGAATAGATTTCCGTGACCGATATCTTCTCTGGCTCAGCGACAGAGCTTTAGATTACTAAAAGTTGTAATGAACCTCCCTGATTTTCAGTTTCCTTTTTTTGTTTTTTATTATTTGCATGGAAAATAATTGATTAATTCCTCATTGATTCAATGTTATTTTTTTCCTTATGTTTGCATCCTGTCCTAAATCCAGCAAAACAAAGGTAGAAAATGTGAGCTACTTCATTTATAGAACAAAATGTGGATATGATAAAAGGACACTAGAAATTGCTGTCTGTAAGGTCATCTATAAAGTGAACAAAATACTTATATATTGAGGTAGGATTGGGAGCAGAAATAAAAGTCAGTTATCCTCAAGCACTTTAAACTCAAATAAAAATACCTGTTTTGTCAGCGGGGTATTTGGTTCGAGATGAAGGTTGCTGCAGAGAGTTTACTTTGCCATCGTGAGCTACAAGGACATTTGGAAATACTTGGAGATTTTATTGTCTGGATTTAATAAATAATTTGTGCTGACTTCCCTGGCCATGGTTAATGGTCTCGGATGCAGGAGCTCGGTGCTGAGCTGAGCTCTGCAGTACAGGTCGTTCCTGTTCATCCCTTTCAGCCTCTGTCCTGTGGCACTGCAGAGTTTTCCGTTGTTATTTTCTGTTGTGAAGTGCCGGTTTAAGCCAAATGAATCGTTCCCGCAGGATGGATTCACCCTGGCAAATGGCTGCGGAAACAGAAGGGTGCATTTGTAAGGAATGCTTAATTAGCGATAGCTCGGGGTGGGTGAGTGATATCTTTCATGTCAACACTGTGTGGAATTTCGAGCTCTGAGGCTGAACGATGGAAATGAGCTGCTTAATTTAAATATGGATAGTTTAACTTTTTTTTTTCCTTTAAAATTAACTCCGTGACTAAAAAGAAAACACTTCTTTGAGTTTCCAGTGGAAAATTCTTTGTCCATAAATGAGAAGAGCCCGTGGCAAAGGGAGCCTGTTTAAAGACGGGAGCCCCACGTGCTTCCTTCTTGGGTAACCGCGACCCGAACCGCTCGGCCTTTTCCTCGGTGGCTGCTGTTTCAAGTTGGCCTTTCCTGATACAACAAATACCAAAATATTTGCTGTGTGTAGAGCATCTTCAAAAAACTTGTTTTCTTTTTTCTTTTCAGCAGCAGTTTTCCAGGTCCGAGAGATAACAAGAGAAAGTCGCGTCGGCCCCGGATGCTGGAAAACGATCGACGGCTCCCCGAGAGGAAGCGCAAGAAGAGCTAGTGCTGCCGCAGCGCGAAGCCTAGATCCCTGCGGAGACGTGCTGCTGAGTTTTTCCCAGTTTTCAGTGTCTCTGGGTACTTAATAAAACGCTGAATTTTCGCATAACTGTCACTCAAGCTGCCTTAAAATGACCGGATTGGTGTGCGGATGTGCTGGCGACCTGGGTCAGCTCAGGGGGAGCTGAGGGATGGGACAGACTTCTGCTCTACAGAAATAGGATTTTTTGGCTTGAGGCTTTTTGTTTGTTCGTTTGTTTGTTTTGGGGTGGGGGTTTTTTTTGGAGTAAGTCTGTGTAAACTTACTCATGAGTACGTGTAATTATTTCAGTTTGAAGTCGTTAAATTTGAAAGAAATTGGAAGGTCATTGGCCGTTCTAGCTTTAAACGAAATACTAGCATTAAGAAGTCTTACCTTTCTTAGAAGGTGATGGAGTTTTGTAAAGAAATACAGCAATGCAATAAAATCAAAGCAAGCCTGAACAACACGATAGGTTTTTTTGCATCTAAGCCAAATACTTACCATACAAAATATTCAGAGGTGTTCTTGCCGAGGCCTAAAGCTTTGGCCATAGCCTTTCATCAGGAATTCTGCAAAGAAGGCGCAAAACCTGAAACCTCTTTTCAGCGTATTTCTTGATACAAGATAGAGATTTAAGCCTTCCTGGAAAAAACTCTGCATCCTTTGTGGTGCCACAGTTTGATCGATGGTGAATTTAAAAGTTGAACTTTCCGGTAAATCATAGCATGTCAGTGGCAACGCCACTAGCCAGAAAAATTCTTTGCACAGAATTGCGTGAAGTCAGACGCGTGAGGAAAGCTAAACTAGAGAACAAAAGGAAAAAAATCAGGAAGATTTTAAGAAATGAAATGAAATTTTCTGACTGTAGGGAGACAGCGATAGGCAAGGTTGTCCCTGGGTAACAGTGAAGGTCTCCAGCTGCAGCACTGTCTGTAAAAATAAATAAATAAAGCCACCATTTCTGTGTGAGCAATGCTATTTATTAGCATGCGTGAGCGTGCACACCAGAGAGGCCCTGAGGAATCATCTCTCTTAGGTTGCAGTGTGAGATTAAATGAGCTCCTAATTGGCAATCGGTTCCTTTGTTTTATCTTATGGTTTCTTGGTGCTGCCTGTGTGTGCCCGGGTGCCGGCTTCCCGTGAGCAGCCGTGCGATGCTCGTGGTTACGTCGTGGTTATAAATCCCTTGTGCAGTTCTGCACTGAGCCAGAGGCAGAATTCAAGGATCCAGCCTGGGTGACAGGGCTGAACCGGGGCTTTGCACTCGCACACGAGGAAGACGATTGCTCCGGAGCTCACAGAGACACCTCCCGCCTCAGTCTCTGCTCTCCCAGCTTTGTGGTGAGAGGCATCTCCCCGCCTGCTGGAATCCCTGCTTATGGTAAATCTTCACCAAAAGCCTTTAAAAATCTTCTTCAAATAGTTTGTGTTACTAAATACTTAATGCACATCCTGATTAGAGCTGAACAAATAATGCACAGAGGTTATTTAGGGAGGTTTAACCATGTTTTTTCTCTACCCTGTGAGTAATTAACAGCTATTCCTCGTTGGTGTTGGCTCACCAGGTTTTTAGGTGTCGCAGGAGCTTTTGCTGTGACAATCAGCCCTTAGTTCCTTGAGACCAGCTCGCAGCGACACTGAAATGGGAGCTCTGCGCTGCCTCTAGGTCCTGGCAGCAGTGAACTGACAGTTTGTCTGCTGGAAATCCTTGTTTGCTCTTTGTGACTGTTCTGCCTCTCGTGCTGTGCAGAAAGAAGAGCGAAGGACCCCGACTGCTGCCACGGGGATTTCAGCGGAGATGGCCAGGTTGGGGATGCAGGAGAACAACCCGCGGGACTTCTCTGCTCTGCTCGGGGGGGACCATCGCTGCAGGGAGGCTTCCCCGGCCCTCGGGCAACAGCACCTGCTCAGCAGGAGGGAGAAAACGCCAGGAAAAATCCCATCCTGATGCTCCTAAGGATCTGTGTTCTGGAAGGCAAGGAGGGCCCCGTGATGAGCGGCGATAATTGCTGCTCTTATGCATCGGATGTGCCTCCCAGCGTTGATTTTGCTGCTGCAGACAGTGCAATTCGTAACACAGATTACTGCAAATTGCAGGAAAAAGGCAAATTCACAGTAGCTGGGCATGGATCAGAGTTGGAACCGCAGCAGGTTGCTCCCACCACGAATAATTGAAACCCTTCGAAGCTGCCAGGGCCCTGGGTGTGATTCCCATGTGAAAATTTTTCTTTGTATGAAAATGTCATCTTGCTCCTCAGAAACATTCCTCAAGTACCTCGTCGGTCGGAATTGCTGCGCGGTGCCCGGGTACCCCTGGGCTCTCCTTGTGATGAGCCTGCAGGTGCTTTCCTGTAGGAGCCGCAGATTTTGAGGTGTGATGCCAGCCTGGCGGCCTGAGCCAAACCAAGATGGATTTTGTGATCAGAAGCAAAGGATCTGCCTGAGAAAAAGGTTCTTTAGGAATAGTTTTTTACAAAATCCGATTTATAGAAACTTAAACAAGGCTGTTTGGAATGGCTTTCGCAGGCCTAAATGGAGTTTTAGCATACCAGTGAAATTAGAAAAATATGCCTGAACGTATTTATAGATGCAGCATATCTTTGTGGTGATCTTTGGGTCTATGAAATAATAACCGATGGTGAGAAATATTCAAAAGGGTGACTGCCAAATGGTGTTGATCTTAAGATTTAAATTAACTAAAATTCTCGAACGTCAAGATGCCTTGCAAATAAATACTCGAGCAACAGGATTTCTGGTCAAAAACCTTTGAAGGTGAGAATTGTCTTTTCCTCAACCTGTGTGCATGGTCTGAGCAGTCAGTGCATGACAGCAGAGAGTAAGTTTGATTATTATAACTATTTTGCACCCAGTGATTTGTCTTAGGGATGATGGAGTCCCTTTGGTGGCTGGCTGTTTGGCAGGGAGCTGGTTTTTCAATATGTGTAGTGTTGTGGAACAGTCTATCATTTTGGAAGTCACAACCCCCCATTTTATTAAATTAAGGATGTGATTTGGTGACCGGGAAAGCACCCACAGACCAAGCTGAAAGCACCCACAAGCCTGATTTCCAAGAGAGGGAGACCAACGTGGCTCTGAAGACCAGACCTTGCCAGGTGAGCCGAATGCCCCAAATCCCAGCGTCTTCAGAATCTGGATGATCTCTTTTCCATCCACATCTCACATTTGGGTTGTTTTCCCTTTCATTGTACAACTTCTCCCCACTGGCAAAACCGCTTTGCAAGTTGGTTTCTAAGGGTGAAGTCGATATGTTTAAGATGAGGCCCCTGTGAGGGACAGAAATGCCAAGAATTTGTCACCTCCCGGAGGTGGGGACACTCGTTTTGTTGAGGAGGATGGCTCCTGACCGGCTACAGCTGATCATGCAAATCCAGCACAGAAATACATGTCCAAAAAAAATGGATCTGAGGGCAAGTACAGGGCGAAGATGCCAGCAGAGGTCTGCCCTGCAATTTTTGTGGGATCTTGGCTCACAAATGCTAAAGTTTTGGCTAAAGCTCAGCTGCCGGGTGGTGCGAGTCTAAATAACCGCAAAGCCTCACCCCAGCGGGTTTGATCTGAGCACACGGCTACCAGAGGTGAAACCCATCCGCACTCGAGGAGCAAATTACTGCTCCGTAGTACAGGTGTGTTACGTAGTTGGCTCACAGGTATTGGCCGTGCTTTGAAGGAAAGGTTGGGTTTCTGACTTACAGGTCACTTATAAAGACAGCCTTCAGAGAGCCACAGACTGTTCGAGGTTGGAAGGGACCTCAAAAGATCATCTAATCCAACCCCCCTGCCAGAGCAGGAGCACCTTGGCGAGGTTCTGGAGCTGCAGGAGGGTGTGGAAGGGAGGAAGGTTTGGCTGTTGTTGGAAAGTGACTGTTCCCACCACGCTACGAAAGCCTGTAGACATGTTAAAACTGCAGTGATTAGCAAAAGGTTTAATTGTCCATGAAAATGTTGCGTTGGAAAAGCAGGCTGTGGAGAGCCCCCGAGAGGCGGTTGGGCTCTGCTGACTCCCAGGAGGGTCTTGCCCGAGTTTGAACCAAGTTTCCCGTGCAACCCGGAGACGATTTCATAAAGGGCAAACTTACGTTTCTGCGGCTGCCAGCCAGAGTTGGGAGCAGGAGGAGATTTTCAACCCCGTGAGTCAGATTCCCTCTTGAGGGTCTGCTCCGTCAGAGAGCTCGGTGACGAACGGTGCGAACACACGTTGGAAACGGCGGCTTCTGGGGCACCGAGAGCCATCCAGCAAGAGGAACAACCTCTCTTGCTGTCTCAAACCGCATCGCTGTCATTTTGTAGTCTTTCTGTAGCAGCGAGTTGAGGCTGAGACTCCCGTTTTCAAATGTTCATTTTTCTTTTTTACGTTAGAGTCACCTTGGGTCTGGATATTCAAGAGCTTTCATTTATTTAAAGGCTTTTTCAGAGTTTCGCAGGTCAGTGAGCCATGACTCTTAGCAACATGCCATAAAATCTTCAACTTGCTCTCCTTATTTTCCATCTAAAACAACTTGCTCCCATTATTTTCCTGCCGAGGCTGTTCCCGACCCTGCGAGGGGGCAGGGGGAGGGAGAGAGAAAAAGCATCACCTCCCATAAATGCAGGGACAGTTTTTGTAGATACAGAAAAAGATGTCGAAGGAATAGTGAAGGAGAGCTGGCAGGGGCTCGGGAAATAAGGAGTCGACATTTGTGTGTGGGGATGGAGCAGGTCAGCGGTTCTTTCATCAGTGGACTGGTGTGGCTGCAGATAATTACATTTCTGTTGAAAATAGGCTAAAGAGCTGTGCCGCCACTATAATTGGACCATTAAGATAATGAAGCAATTGCCTGGTGTAGCAGAAGAGAGAAGAGCTGTGACATGTTAAACAGAGACATAAACTGTTCACAACCTGTTGAGATTCGGGTTTTTTAATACTGCCTTTTGTGGAAGTCACTATTTAAAGTCTAAAAACGGGGGTTTTTTTGCTGAAAGCA